CGAGGGCGCCTTTCAGAAATGCAAGGACGCCCTAAAACTCCCCGTCCTGGAAGTCTTGCCCGGAGGGGGCTGGGACAACCTGCGGAACGTGGACGCGGGCCGGGTGATGGGCCTGACCTACGCCGGCTGCAGGACCACGGAGGACGGCCAGTACATCGTCCCCGACGAGGTCCTCAGCCTCCCGCAGAAGCAGAGCCACCTGGACATGAACTCCGAGGTCCTGGAGTCCTGGCAGGACTACCGGAGCAGCACCGCCTTTTCTATCAACGCCGAGCTCTCCGCGTTTTCCAAAGTCAACGGCAAGTTCTCCTCGGAGTTCCAGAGGACGAAGGCCCTTCAGGTGAGGGACCAAGCTGTAACCACGCAGGTGCAGGTACGAACCCTGGTCTACACAGTCAGAATCAACCCCCTTTCCCACCTCAGCGCGGGGTTTAAGAAGCTGCTCCTGGACATCTCTGACCGCCTGGAGAACAACCAGACGCGGATGGCCACCTACCTGGCAGAGCTCCTGGTCCTCAACTACGGCACCCACGTCGTCACCAGTGTGGACGCGGGGGCCGCCCTCGTTCAGGAAGATCACATCAGGTCCTCCTTCCTCCAGGACAGCCAGGGCAGCCGCAGCGCCGTGACCGCGTCTGCTGGGGCTGTCTTCTACGGCAGAGTGAACTTCAAATCTGAGGAGAGCTACGCCTCGCAGAACGCTTTCATCAAGAGCTACCTCTCAAACCGCACCCACTCCAGGGTGCAAAGCATCGGAGGGCCTCCTTTCTACCCAGGCATCACCCTCCAGGCCTGGCAGCAGGGCATCGCCAACCACCTGGTGGCCATAGACCGCGCCGGCCTGCCTCTGAATTTCTTCATCAACCCCGACATGCTGCCCGACCTGCCCGGGCCCTTGGTGAAGAAGTTGTCTAGGACGGTGGAAGCGGCTGTGAGACGCTACTACACGTTCAACACCTACCCCGGATGCACAGACCTCAGTTCGCCCAACTTCAATTTTCAGGCCAACACTGACGATGGCTCTTGCGAGGGGAAAATGACCAACTTCTCCTTCGGTGGGGTCTATCAGGAATGCGCCGAGGTGTCAGGGGGCGAGGCTGTCCAAGCCTGCCAGAACCTGGAGCAGAAGAACCCGCTCACCGGAGAGTTCTCCTGCCCCCCGGGCTACTCCCCCGTCCACCTCCTCACCCAGGTCCACGAGGAGGGCTACAGTGGCCTGGAGTGCGTCCGCAAGTGCACCCTCCTCATCTTCTGCAAGACGGTGTGTGAAGACGTGTTCCGAGTGGCAAAGGCCGAGTTTAAGGCTTTTTGGTGTGTGGCCACTGACAAGGTACCAGAAAGCTCGGGACTGCTTTTTGGGGGCCTCTTCAGCAGTAAGAGCATTAACCCTCTGACAAATGCCCAGTCGTGCCCAGCTGGCTACTTCCCACTGAGACTCTTTGAAAGCCTCAAGGTATGTGCCTCTCAGGACTATGAGTTGGGGTATAGGTTTTCTGTCCCCTTTGGTGGGTTCTTCAGCTGTGCAGTTGGGAACCCCTTGGTGGATTCTGCCATATCCAGAGACTTAGGGGCACCTGCTCTGAAAAAGTGTCCCGGGGGCTTCAGCCAACACCTCGCCCTCATCAGCGATGGGTGCCAAGTGTCCTACTGTGTCAAGTCTGGGCTCTTTACAGGAGGGTCTCTTCCCCCTGCCAGGCTCCCGCCGTACACCCGGCCACCCCTCATGAGTCAGGCTGCCACCAACACTGTCATGGTGACTAATACTGAGACGTCAAGCTCCTGGATTAAGGACCCCCAGACCAACCAGTGGAGGTTGGGGGAGCCGGTAGAGCTGCGCAGGGCCATGAAGGTCATCCATGAGAATGGGAGTGGCCTGTCAGGGGGAGCAGCTGCTGGGGTTACATTGGGGGTCACCACCGTCCTGGCAATTGTCATCGCCCTGGCGATCTATCGCATCCGGAAGTACAAGAAGAGGGGATACCAGGCAATCGAGGACGAGAGGCAGAGTTTGGCTCCTGGTACTGCAGGGATCGGAGACACCCCTGACCAAGAGCAGGAGCAGTGTCCAGCCTAAATCTCTCCCAGGAAACTGTTTCATTTCTGGGCAGAGCTTCAGGCCATCTTTAATTCTTTTCTCTCCACTTCTGTTCTAATTCTTTTCTCTCCACCTAACTATTAAAGTGGCAAATGCAACCAAAAGCAGGTGTAACTTTTGACTTCCCTCGGTCTCGGGGCCAGGAAATTAATAGAGCTACCTGGACGAGTTTGGGGTGGGGCTGGGGAGAAGTTGTGACTTACTAAGCAAAAGTCATAGTGGGTACTGAAACATGAAGGGGTGTCTTCTCTCCAAGTGTACCATCAATGCTTTTCACCTGAATGCACACGTGTAGAAAGGAAGGAGCGAGAAGGTTGACATCCGAATTTGGAGATGATGCGTTTAACCTGAGGTTGGCGTGGTTTCCAATTCACAAGCTGTAAGAATTTCTGCCTTGGGAAAAAAATAAATTTAAAAAAAAAGAAAAAGAATTTCTGCTGTTAAGTTCTACCCTCCAGCTATTTTGTTTTTTAAAAACTGCCTGGATCTCATGTTCCTGGGGGTGACAGAGCCCCCAGAAGACACAGGAGTCCTTCTTGGCTGCAGCTTTTCAGTTGCCAGGGCTCTGTGTGGAGGGGCTGTGTTGACCCCTCTGGGTCATCTCAACACCATCGGGACAGAAACATGTTGCTTATACCGAGCCCATGCTTTCCACCTTCCCCGCAATTTAAGACTCACTTAGACCAGACCACGATTTTGGATTAGTTCATAAAGTCCTCAGAAAATATTTTAACTCATAAACCCCTATTAGGATGGGAGAGGCGATAACCTGTAGAAAAAGAGAAGGTGAAGAAAGGGGTTTATGCTCAGGGGAAATTGGAATTCTTACCCACAGCCAACTACCTGGCTTTTTTCTCTTAGCTCATCGTAGATGGGGCAAAGAACAGAGCGTAGATTTGGGTGGATCAAGCATTATAGTTGCCTGGTCTCTGTGAGCAAAGCACCACCGCCTCTTCCGAGAGCGGCCCTTGTCCTTCCTGGCCCCTATCGGATGCACCCCCCGCCCCACCACACACCACACACCATGCACTACACACACCGCATCCCAAGAAGTTGCATTTTCCTGGGGCTGGGAGGCAAGAAGTAAAGCAAGAAGTCCAAGCAAGCCCACAGCTGAGCTTTGCGTTCTCCCCAAACCAAAGCAGACGGACACCGCCTGTGCACCCCGCCTTTCTCTCTCCAGCAGCAAGAGCCAGCGTGGTCAGGCCCACGCTTGACATGCAGCGAGGAAGGCGCCCAGTGCCCCATGTGACGTATTCCTTTCAGTTCCAGGCACGTGGCAGGGTGCACATGTCCCTTGGGGCTTTGCCCAGCTTCAATACCGTCGTCACCTAACCGTAACCATCAGGGCGATTCTACTGATGTTCCTCCACAAGGTGTTTGAAAGCTATAGATTTCTCACCAAATCACATGTCGTTAGTGGGTGACCTGTGGATAGTCTGTCCTCTCCGGGTTCACATTCACAGTCTTCTGAGGACTTTGGAGGGTCCCCCTCCCTTGCCCCCCGCTGTGATGAAGAGAGGCCAGGGGCAGAAGAAGAGCCCTGCTCTCGTGACAGCCCAGCCAGGGCCACCGATCTCTACAGCCCCTTCACTTAACCCCACCTCTTAAGCATTAAAACGTCCCTCTAAACCTCTGGGTGCTTGTGGGCGAGTTTCAGCCAAGCTAACCACTTTTCTGCAAACACAGACTTTCCCAGGAATTCTTTGAAGTCAGAGAGTCAGAGAGACAAAGTAGAGCTGTAGGCCTCCAGGCTTTCAATGCACTAACTGCCCATTGAAATGAAAAACCTTGCAAACTTATATTTCGACTAACGAAATTGCACATAAATGTGCATTAAAATGCGTACTTAAGGAGCACTCTGTCTGACTGCTCACCCAGAGGAAGTAGGAACGTGGGAGTCTGTCCACAGTGTGCATTCGTCAAGTCTTTTTACCAAGTCAGCGCCCAGAGGGGAGGGTTCCCAGGCCCCGCTTTCCTGCTGCTGAGCCCAGGCCGGGGCCTGTGGGAAGGCCAATCCAGCTTTCGAGAAAACCACACTCTGGACTCTCACAGATGGAGACACGTTTGGGGAACAAAGGTGGCTTTGCAATCACATTTTATTTGTGTTCTTGTTAATATCGGGATGATTAACACTAAACATTTGTTTGAAAAAATAACAGCTTGTGAACTATTGAGACTGACACTGTGGTGTGGTCGGGTGAGAGGAACTGTAAGAAGCGAACACGCACAGTTTCTAAGAAGGTCTTTCTTTCCCCCACAGGTTTATTTACTTATTTCCCCTGTCATATGGCCTGTTTCCTTTAGAGGAACAAGGAGTCCAGCCAGGTCCTTTGGTCAAATGTGTGGGTGGAAAACATGTGGGGGGAAAAAAGAAAAGGGACCCCCCCGCCCCACCCAGTGGAAGGGCTTGTGGTTGCTTACAGGCTCCAGGGGTTACCCAAAACGCCTCTCGGATGGCGCCTGACCTCCAGAAAGGAGAAGGTTGACAAGGGTTTGTGGTGGTTCGTTTGCCATTTATTGTTCTGCACATACAGCTCAGGAGCACCAGGTGGCGATGTCCCCTCCCAGAGCAACACCAAGGACTTCAAAACACACCAACAACAAAGATTTACGGGAGGACATTCACCTGCCCTCTCCCAGAAGCCCACCCGACTCAGTGCCAGCGACCACAGACAAGGAAAGGGGACAGGGCCCTTTCTTGTACCCCACGGGGGCCTCCCCCCAGTCTTCTCATGCACACAACAGCGCAACACCAGGACCAGTACTTCTGACCGAGTCTGAAAGCACCAAGGAAAGGAATGAAAACGAGGCGCACACACAACCACACCTACACAACTGATCCTTAAGGGATGAGCATCTGACCGGGCCGTCATCCCTGGAGACTCAGGGAGGGAGGAACTGGGCTGCTGGTGCTAAGACGATGGAAGGAAAGGCATGGAAGTCCCTGCCTGGGCCAGGGAGCTCAGCAGGGCTTCCGGTGGGGACACCCCTGTGTTAAAGCGGTGGATGCCCAGGGCCTCTGCTCGCAGGGTCTCCACTGAACCCAAGACTGCACCTCTCCAAGCTGGCTCAAGAGAAAGGGCAAAGGAATGCCTCCCGCCTTGCCTGGCACAGTGTTAGAAAGGAAATTCAAGATTCCCTCTACTCAGAAGGCCCCACAAAAAGATGAGGGTGAGGTGGCCCCTACTGAGCATCCTCAGAGAGGAAGAGAAACGGGGCACAGACAATCAGCCTCCTGGGGAAAGGCTCGAGGGTATGAAGGCTGACTCTTGAAGTGGTATTGCCCCTGGCTTCCAGCCTGCCTTGCACGCTCTCTAGGTCCCTTTTCCCACCCACACCCTCCTTGCCTGATGCAGGAAGCCAGTTTCTCCCCGCTGCCCATTGCCAGTTGTCAGAGCACGTCTTCTTTCTTTCTCACCTCCTGCTGAACAATTGTGCTTCTACCCACTGACCCTCGGTCCGGTTCCTCATCACGGGGGGTGAAGGCGGAGATGGCAGGGCCTACAGTAAGGCTCTCTAATGATCTGCTACATGGTAGCCTGGCGAGCGCGTGGGGCATGACAGTCAACACCGCAGGGATGTCTCTTCCATTGAGTTCAATGCTTCCTTCCCGACTGGGGCAGGAAATGACTCTGTAGTGCAGTGAACTTAAGACTGACCCAGTTTGCTGGTGAGACAAATGACTGCCGACTGATAGGAGAGATTGGAACCAATATGGCAGACTCAGTTCTTCCCATCGGAGCTCTCCCTGCTGGAGCTGATGAATGTCCCAATAGCCACTTGGAAAATGAGGAAAGGCTCAGCACCAGCATGTCCCCAGGACCTGGGTGATGCTCAGGTAAATTCCCTGGTCACACAGACATCAGAATGGCTGCAGGCCTAACAGCAAGCAGCTCCGAGGCTGCTCTCAGGAAAGCTTGGTTTCTGGTTCTAATTTAAGTACCATTTTCGAAGGTTCTTTTGTTTCAATTTTTCTAGCATCAAAAACCTTCCAAGTATTATGAAATATATATGCATATATATACGTCAAATCCCCAAAACATGAGGTATATAAATTCGAATTAGTATCCAGAGGAACTTCCCTCAAACAAATAGTTCAAAGAACCCACTTTCAAAGGGGGAACTGGGTTTCCCTTTTTTGATCCCCGCCTCTCCTCCCTGACTCCCAATTCATTCCCTCATGGGAGCTGAAGGCAAGAGGAACTTTGGGGAGGAGATAGGCAGGGTCTTGGGACACAACCCAAATGCAGGTTGGACTAGACCTAAGGTGGTACTAACCCTGTTACGAATGAGCTAAAGAGGCTCCTTCCATGTTCTAGGTCAATCTGTAATAGACAAGGGAGTTGAGGGGCCCAGCACCACCCCTGGGCTCTAATTAACACATTTGCATGGACACAGATCGAAACTCTCAGAGAAACAAGGCTGGATGGAGACTGGCTCAGATCCAATCTTGAGAGATAGAAAAAGGGGTCAGACCAGTCCTTCTCCCAAACGCAGTTCTGACCACATCAGGGTCCAAGTTTACTATGGGATGGGTTGGCAAAGGGTGAAAGAAGTCAAGGGGTCACAACCTGGCTGTCTGATCCTCATCAGAACTGGGGTTTGACATCTTGCAAAGCAGAGTGTGAGAACATGATGCGACTCTCCACCAACCTGACCCAGTGGTGCACACGCGCGCACACGCACACACATGCACGCACACGTGCACATACACAGATGGCACAGAGCCCAGCATAGGCTCTACTCACAGTGACTTGATGAAACTCATGGAATCTTTGAGCTGGTCTGGGATGAGCTGGGAAGAAGGCTATGGGCTCCTGTCTCTGAGGACAGTTCAGATGCTGAGTGGGATGCAGGCTCTGGTCTGATCAGCCAGTGGCTGGAAACATCTTGGGATGCCACCCAGAGAGGAATCCGGGAGCCCACCCATCCCCATGAGAGAAGCAGATGCCTCTTTGGACACGTCAGTGTTGTGAGGAGGCAGGGGGGCCCAGAGAAGCCAAGGACTCATATGAGAGCTGAGTGTGCTCCAGAGGCCTTCGCCTCCCTGACCCTCCTGGCCAGAAGTGCTTCCTCCCTCTGCACCGAGGCATCGGTATCTGATGTCACAGCAGTTTCGCGGTTCACCCCTTTACCCCCCAACTTGCACAGTGAGAGCTCCTCGCCTCCAGCGGGAGAGAGAAAAGCGGAAACTCCACTTCTGAAAGTGGAAGCAGCAAGAAGCCAGCTAAGGCAATGACCGTCTGGCTTCGCGAGGCCAGGAGATGAGTGCCCAGGCACTGCCCACACCCTGAGAGTGCTGACCATGCCCCCACTCAGGGAAGACGGCTGGTGTTCTTGCCTACCCAGCACCGAAAACTCCCTGGGAACAGACGGGGAGGGCCCCCACCCCATCCCATGTTCCCTTTGCAGTGGATGAGGCTTATGAGTGTCGGCCCCTTACTCATTCTGGCGCCCCCTGGGGCTGGGAGGGTGGGGGATGGAGACAGCACAGGAGGGGAGAGGAGGGAGTCGGGAGGGCATAGCGCCAGCTTTGATCTTGACTCTCCCCACTTCCTGCCCTGTGGTCCCCACAACCTCTCTTCCCCAAAGCCCTTCCAGCTCAGTCCTTCTCCTGGGCAGCGCTGTCCTCAGAAATGCCCTGGGCGGCCAGTTCAGCCAGCACGTTATCCAGGTAATTGGCGTCTGGGTAGCCGTGGCCAGTGAGGTTCGAGCCGAACTCTGTCTTGTGGTGGACCTCATTCCAGATGACGGTGTCCGACTCGCCCGTCGTGCTGGAGGTCCCGATGGCAAAAATGAGGCGGCGATCCCAGGCCACCAGCAGCAGCTTCAGAACCTGCAAGAGAAAAGGCAGGAGATGAAAGCCAGACATTCACTGTCGGCCACAGATGATCCTGGGGACGGCAGAGTCCTGCAAAAGGCCCCACGCCTGCCTGCACTCCGACCCCCTACGCAAAGGGAAAATCTGGAAGGCTGTGAGTAATTTAGCAGGTGCTACGTGAAAAGTAGTTTAATAGTAGTGCTTGGAACCCACTATTCAACCAGTGTTAGCTGCCAACATCATAGTTGCGTTTTAAGTTAGGACCTAGGAGTTCGAGGTGCTTCTGATCTGAGACCTTCTGAAGCCACCCCCGCCACCCCCACCCCACCCCACCTGAATGTGGGATTCATTTCCTGCAGCTAAAGCTGTGGGATATTTCTGCAATGACAGGGTTGAAGCACTTTGACCTCTTCATGGCCATTTCAGATTTATTTGCTCCTCTGGTCCTCACAACCACACTTTGAATGAGGTCTGGCAGGTGCTATTATTGCCTCTATTTTGCAGGTGAGGCCCAGGGAGGTGTTAGGGCTTGCAGAATGCTCTAATTCAGCTAAAATTTAAAAATGTATATCTTTGTTGAGCAAGACACATGCCTAACACGCCGTCCAGCATGAAGAAGGCTCTTGATAAAAATTCATTGGGTGCAGAACTTAATGAATGTAAACATGGCCTGGGCTGGAGGTGGGGAGTCATAGTAGTCGTAGTAATAATAACAGCAGGCATTGACACTATGTGCCACCTTTCCCTGCCTCAGAGCAGCGTTTTTCAAGCTTGAATGTGCTCTCAGATCACCTGAGATCGTGTTAAAATGAAGAAGGTTCTAAGGTTCTGAACTTCAATCAAGCTTATAGACATTGCCACTGGTGTTGACCCCAGGACCGGCTGTTAAGCAGCAAAGTCCTAAAGGAAGGATTCTAAACTAGGCAAGTTATTGCAAGTAATATCCAGGAGAGGAAAAAGCCAAAGCCCCACCCCCACCATCCTACAAAAAAAAATTCTACTCATATCTGCCCTTACCCATGGTTGACTCCACTATGACCTGTTACCATGTGCATCCAGAGCTAAGGGAGACCCAGTCTTCTTTACCCTGGGCATCGTAGGAAGCAACACTCGTGCCCTAATATAGAAGCAAATAACCTCACCCCCAGGGCTCTTACTTTTCTCCCCTTCTCGCTGTCTGGAAGGTAACAGTGTCTTGGGAAGCCACGGGCGCTGAAACTCTTCCCCGGATTCGGGTGCTCTGGCCCCTGAAAGCAAACAAAGAAAACAAACGGCACTTTTCAACATATTTCTGATGAGGAGATGCAGGCCGGGACTAATGCAAATAATGAAGACAATGATATGGGTATAGACAGAGAGCAGACCCCAAAAGCAGCAGGAGCGGAGCCCTCAGACCTGGGCTAGGACCGAGCTGCAGCCTCCCAGCTGTGCCAGCTGGAGCCCTCTCCGGAGCAGGAAGGCCCTGGAATCTCATCTTGTGCGACTGTGAATGCTAAGCGAGCATGACACCTGCATGTGTGCTGAGAGCTCAGCACCTGTGCAGCATCACCGCCACGCCTATTCTGACTGTTGGGTTTTACAAAAGAGGGAAACTACAGCCGTCACAGGGGAAACGACTTGGTAATGTCAGTGGCTTTGCCAGAACTTCAGCCCAGGAGCTCTGAGGCACACTCTGGACTTTTGACCTCCAAACCGCTCAGGACAATACAAGCGCCTCTGAGCGCCGAGCTGTGCAGTCAGAATGATCCCAATGATTCTTGGGCATTTTCTCCTTTGTCCTCATGGTTTTTTGGTTTGTTTTCTTGTTTAACAATATGGATTGGGAAACTCATGACTAAAAAACCTAACAACATCTCAACTGCTATCACCTGGTCCTATTAAGCTATCTCAGGCCGCTGGCTAGGAAAGAAGCCGAACCAGAATTTAGCCAGAAACCAGGCTTCCCAGTGAGGGTCCAGAATGGGTCCACAGGCCCCTTTGAGAAATTCATGAAAAATGAGAGATTTTTGCCCTACACACAAATGTTTGTCTATTGTTTCTGAGTACACCAGCCCCCCCTCCCCCAAGTCTCTGAAACCTGTCTTAAAATCCCTTCTAGGTAACACGAGCATAACATTGACAATTCCATGTGGGTCCTGGCTCCAGCTCCCCACACAGATGATGGGTGAGTGTTTCCTGGCTGAATGAATGAATGAGCAAGTGAACATAGGAATGAAAGACAAAACTGCAAGAAATCGCAGAGTTTTCATTTTCTTTCATGATGGACAATGATTCCAAAGTGATTTTAAAGTGCTGGGATTTAAATTCTTTTTTAATAGTGACAGAGCAAAAGGATGTGGGCCCTCGATAAAAGCTATGGGAGGCGTCCAGTTCCCGGCTGATCCCCACCAGCTGGGGACTTTGGACAGCCACGTGACCTTCCTGACTCAGTCTCCTTACCCGTGCAGCCGGGAACCTAATATGCAGTTTTGTGAGGATGGTTCAGGATCACCTATGACTTTGCAAACCAAACGGCCTTGTAAGTGCGGTGGAGTCTCAGCGAAGGGCAAGGTCACCCCCAGCTGAAAGCTACAGTGTCTTCTTGGAGGTGCAGGACGGCATGGTCCCGAATTTCACATTCGCATGAAATCGCTCCACATTTGCCACGTACCCATGGCCACGGCTGTTTCTAAGCCAGGCTGCCTTACTGAAGGGCTGGTTCCCAGCAGGGCTCTGGCTGCTCCTCTCCTACCTGGGACATGCCCGTCATTCGGGGCACAGACGCCTGCCTGGCGCTGACCCAGCAAGGCTGCGAGCTCCTGGCGCATTGCTAAGCGGAGCAGTCACGACTGGGCCTGAGTTTCTCCCCCAGGGAACTGTTCTCTGCAGTGAAGGCCGAGCTGAAAGGTCTCGACTTCTCACGGAAACGCAAGCTTCCATGGGCTGAGAAAGGGCAATAAAATCATGACCTTAACTGGGGAGGCCCCAAATGGAACACTTCCTCACAGCCCTTCAACACCCTCACCTTCTCTCCTCTGCGATTCTGTGGTCTCGTCCTACTAAAATCTCTCTTCTCCATTTCTTCATGTCTTTTCAGGCCCTTCTAGCAACTGCCCTGAACAAGAAAAGTCTCCTCTGACCCTCCCAGTCAGGCAGACATGGGCCTTCCTCCTACCCTGACAAGTAGGATACTCCAACAATGCGGATACTCCCATAATGATGGCGACCAGGGACTGAGCACCGGAGTGCTGTGCCCGCCACCACAATGTGCACACACAAACCTTAGCTCCCATCCTCACAAAACCCTGCATATTAGGTTCCCGGCTGCACAGATAAGGAAACTGAGTCAGGAAGGTCACGTGGCTGTCCAAAGTCCCCAGCTGCTGAGGATCAGCCGGGAACTGGACACCTCCCACAGCTTTTATCGAGGGCCCACATCCTTTTTGCTCTGCAGCTTAGTGATGTACAGTTATTTTTTCCCTTGACTGGTTGGGAAACTTACGACTAAAAACCTAACAACATTTCAACTGCTGTCACCCAGTCCTATTAAGCCATCTCAGGCTGCTGGGTAGGAAAGAAACCGAAACAGAATTTAGCCAGAAACCAGGCCACAGGGTAGGAAAGAAGCCAAACCAGAATTTAGCCAGAAAACAGTAACTCAAAGAAGTAGCATGTTTTTAATTCAATTCTTTTATAGGCTATCACATCTCCCTATTTTCTTTATTTTCTTTCTTTCTTTTTTTTTAAATATATCTTTATTGTTGAGAGTATTACATGTGTCCCATTTTTCCCCCCTCATTGACCCCCTCAACTTCGCTCCCATCCCCTCCCCAGGCCTTCACCCCGTTATTGACTATGTCCCTGGGTTATGCATATATGCATATAACTTCTTTGGTTAATCTCTTCCCATCCTCCACCCTCCTTCCCTCTTTCCTCTGAAATATGATCGTCTGTTGCATGCGTCAGTGTCTCTGGATCTATTTAGTTCGTCAGATTCTTTTGTTCGTTAGCTTCTTCTTAAAGAAGACCCTTCAACTTTTCCTGTAGTGCTGGTCTGGTGGTGATGAACTCCTTTAGCTTTTCCTTGTCTGAGAAGCTCTTTATTTGACCTTCAGTTCTAAATTATAGCTTTGCTGGGTAGAGCAATCTTGGTTGTAGTTCCATGTTTTTCATCACTTTGAATATTTCTTGCCACTCCCTTCTGGCCTGCAAAGTTTCTGTTGAGAAATCAGCTGACAGTCGTATGGGTGCTCCCTTGTAGGTAACTAACTGCTTTTCTCTTGCTGCTTTTAAGATTCTCTCTTTGTCTTTAACCTTTGGCATTTTAATTATGATGTGTCTTGCTGTGGGCCTCTTTGGGTTCCTCTTGTTTGGGACCCTCTGTGCTTCCTGGACTTGTAAGTCTATTTCTTTCCCCAGGTAGGGGAAGTTTTCTGTAATTATTTTTTCAAATAGGTTTTCAATTTCTTGGTCTCTTTCTTCCCCTTCTGGCACCCCAATAATACGAATGTTGGGCCTCTTGAAGTTGTCCCAGAGGCTCCTTATACTATCTTCATATTTCTGGATTCTTTTTTCTTTTTGCTCTTCTGGTTGGGTGTTTTTTGTTTCCTCATGTTCCAAATTGCTGATTTGATTCTCAGCGTCCTCTACTCTACTGTTGATTCCCTGTAAATTATTCTTCATTTCAGTTCCTGTAGCCTTCATTTCAAATTGGTACTTTATTATGTTATCGATTTTCTCAGTTATTTCCCTAATAGTATGCTTAAACATCCTTATAAACAAAATTCTGAACTCTGTATCTGTTAGCTTGCTTGGATCTATTTCATTTAGTTCCTCTTCTAGAGATTTCTTCTGTTCTTTCCTTTGTGACATGTTTCTTTGCCTCCACATTTTGGCTGCTTCCAGGTGTTTGTTTCTATGTATTAGGTAGAGCTGCTATGTCTCCTGGAATTTGTAGAGTGGCTTTGTGTAGTAGGTGTCCTGTAGGGTCCAGTGGCTCAGCCTCCCCAGTCACCTGAGCTGGGCCTTCTAGGTGCTCCCCTGTGTGGGCTGTGTGCACTGTCCTGTTGTAGTTGAGCCTTGGTTGCTGTTGGCGTCACTGGGAGGAACTGACCCCCAGGCCAATCAGCTGTGAGGACCAGCTGCAACTACAGCCAAAGAGCTGCTGTGCTGGAGACACCCCTATGGAGCAGGATTTACTTCAGTGGAGCTTTGGTGTTCACCAAGTGTGCCCCTTGAGTGTCACTTGTGGATCTGGTAGGGTTGTAATCCAGCATGGTCTAGTCTGACCACCAGGTGCACTGTCTCTGGGGCCTCCTGGGAGGTGCAAAGTCAGCCTCTGCC